CAACCCTTCGGTCACTTTGTGGAACTGGGCCCACACTTTATCATGGACTTACTACTGTCATAACCCTCAGTCACTTTGTGGAACTGGGCCCACACTTCATCATGGACTTACTACTGTCACAACCCTTCCGGTCACTCACTTTGTGGAACTGGGCCCACACTTCATCATGGACTTACTACTGTCACAACCCTTCAGTCACTTTGTGGAACTGGGCCCACACTTTATCATGGACTTACTACTGTCATAACCCCCTCAGTCACTTTGTGGAACTGGGCCCACACTTCATCATGGACTTACTACTGTCATAACCCTTCGTCACTTTGTGGAACTGGGCCCTCACTTTATCATGGACTTACTACTGTCATAACCCTTCGGTCACTTTGTGGAACTGGGCCCACACTTCATCATGGACTTACTACTGTCATAACCCTTCGGTCACTTTGTGGAACTGGGCCCACACTTCATCATGGACTTACTACTGTCATAACCCTTCGGTCACTTTGTGGAACTGGGCCCACACTTTATCATGGACTTACTACTGTCATAACCCTTCGGTCACTTTGTGGAACTGGGCCCACACTTCATCATGGACTTACTACTGTCATAACCCTTCGGTCACTTTGTGGAACTGGGCCCACACTTCATCATGGACTTACTACTGTCACAACCCTTCAGTCACTTTGTGGAACTGGGCCCACACTTCATCATGGACTTACTACTGTCATAACCCTTCTTCGTCACTTTGTGGAACTGGGCCCTCACTTCATCATGGACTTACTACTGTCACAACCCTTCCGGTCACTTTGTGGAACTGGGCCCACACTTCATCATGGACTTACTACTGTCATAACCCTTCGGTAACTTTGTGGAACTGGGCCCACACTTCATATTGGACTTACTACTGTCATAACCCCTCAGTCACTTTGTGGAACTGGGCCCTCACTTCATCATGGACTTACTACTGTCATAACCCTTCGGTCACTTTGTGGAACTGGGCCCTCACTTCATCATGGACTTACTACTGTCATAACCCTTCAGTCACTTTGTGGAACTGGGCCCACACTTCATCATGGACTTACTACTGTCATAACCCTTCGGTCACTTTGTGGAACTGGGCCCACACTTCATCATGGACTTACTACTGTCACAACCCTTCGTCACTTTGTGGAACTGGGCCCACACTTCATCATGGACTTACTACTGTCATAACCCTTCGGTCACTTTGTGGAACTGGGCCCACACTTCATCATGGACTTACTACTGTCACAACCCTTCGGTCACTTTGTGGAACTGGGCCCACACTTTATCATGGACTTACTACTGTCACAACCCTTCGGTCACTTTGTGGAACTGGGCCCACACTTCATCATGGACTTACTACTGTCATAACCCTTCGGTCACTTTGTGGAACTGGGCCCTCACTTCATCATGGACTTACTACTGTCATAACCCTTCGGTAACTTTGTGGAACTGGGCCCACACTTCATCATGGACTTACTACTGTCATAACCCTTTGGTCACTTTGTGGAACTGGGCCCACGCTTCAACATAGACCAATGCACCAACTATAATATCAACAGAAACGAATAACCCTATTTAAATTGAAAAGTGACCATGTGGGATAAGAGTTTCAGAACCTGGGGAAAGTCTTGACTTGCTTCGTTTGGAGCTTTTGCATTCAAGATAGGATAGGGCATAAGGGGAAATAATATGGTTCTGAAACTGTGAGACTATGAACAAAGGACTGCTTCCAACAGTGAGTGAGTTGAGATTTTGTCACATCAACGTTAATTCAGCCATACAGCAATCTGCTTCCAACAATGGCACAGTGGCATATATACAATGGCACAGTGGCATATATATATTATACAATGGCACAATGGCTTCAATGGCTTCATAGAGCAAGAGGGGTGGTGGGGTAGCCCAGTGGTTAAAGTGTTCGCTCATCACGCCAAGGGCCCGGGTTCGATTCCCCACATGGGTACAATGTGTGAAGCCTATTTCTGGTGTCCCCTGCTGTAATATTGCTGGAATATTGCTAAAAGTGGCGTGAATCCCAACTCACTCACTCATAGAGCAAGATTACCCAGCAGCTTGATACACCATCACATATGCAGGAAGAGAAATCTTCCTGACTGCACAATCTGTGTATATTTGTCCATGATCCAATCACCCATACCTCAGAAACCTTTCCACAGCAAACACCACAAAGATGTCTCTGACCATGGTCTGTTTATGTGTGTAACACTACCATGTGATTTTCTAAAAAAAAATCTACAATAAATAGCTCCGGAAATAAGAATTTAAAAATACCATAATAAACCGTCCTCCAACATGAAAGTAACACCAGAGAGAACCAAACAATACGTCTAATGTTATATTTTTACGTGATACTTTTTTATAACAACCTTCATTTTGCGAATCATAAGAAAAGCCTATTATACCAAACAAGCTTGGCAAATGTATAAATACATGTGTTTTTATAAACAATTCATCATGTGGATCAGGGAGGTGGAGGCATGAATCACGTCCTATCACACTTGGTAGAAAGGTCATGACAATTTGTTACAGTATTTTGAATTTCCCACCCTTCCGCCACTCTGACAAAGCTTTCCAAGTAGGCAATAACTGTATGCTATTATCAATATGGGGACAATATGTAACATATCTACTGGTTGATATCATAGGTTAGAGGTCATCAACACGCATTCCTATACCAACTATTATCATATGAGGAGGATGTGAGAACCAGTCCGTATACCATGGCTCCAGACTGCTGGTGCACATTGGTGCCAAGTGGGAAGCCCAGTATGTCGGTCAATGAACTAAAGGATGTTGATATGTCAAATACCTGTTCTACTTCAAAAGTATACATATTTTTTTGTCCAGAATTACATATGTATAAATAGTGACAGTAATATGCCTCATTCTTACAAATGTCTTTCCATTCCTTGATGATGGTAAAACATGCTGCTGAGCTGACAGGCACGGAGCATGTGCTGCATTAAATTGTCCTTTGTGCCATTGCTGTCTTCTGGAATTTACCGAGAATGTGTTGAAAACACAGATAGATAAGAATCCACTATGCAGACATTTAGACAGGCATATGTGTCACTGTGCATTTTTGAGGAACACTGCAAGTGCATCTGTTGTAACTTTTTAAGGTGGCATTGTACTCAGAGATATTTCAGTCCAGCTGCTCTGTGAGAACATAGTCTTGATGCCGAGTCAATGGATTTTATGAAGGTTTTGTGTAATTTGTGTCGATGTAGTTTACAGGAACAGGTACAGAGATGCCAACCCTATTTTGGGCCTAAGTGTAATACTGGAGGTCAAAAAGTGTAATTTGGACCTAAAAAGTGTAATACTTAAAAAAAATACTTAGTGAAAGGTGATAACTTTATAAAAATTACTTGTAAGAAGGTTTATTCACATGAATAGGAAATATTCTCGACAGAAATACACGTGACCAATCATTATGAAGCTCCATACATCGAAAATTGTTGGTGATGTGACACAAAATACTTTAATTTCTTACAAGTTAATTGGAATGAACGCGATGCTAAGAGTAAGACCATTTCTGAACCCCTGTACTGGTGCGCTATGAAACAATTTCCTGTGAAATTTTTCCGATTTCCTTAAAACGAAGTAGAAAAGCGTAATTTTCGCAGATTAAGTGTAATGGCATAAATTTAATGGTCAAAATCGTAATAATTACGCCCAAAGCGTAAGGGTTGGCAACTCTGCAGGTACTGTTCTACCTCTAATTATCATGTTGATTGTCCATTGATTATCAGGTCCATATCCTCCTGTCTAAAATATAACTGCTCCAGTTCTGAGTTGGGCAGGACATGCTAAACCTTTTGGTGTCAATACTGATTTTCAATGATCCAATCTTATAGTTTTCACATTATTTTGCCTTTCGTGACCAATGGAATCAGTTTTGACAGTCAATTGTGACTAGTTCTTCTCTGGCTTTGTATTTCAACTGTTTTATGGTGAGTAAATGTATTGTTGAAGCACAAAATGATAAAGAATGTAGATGCTTATCACTTCAGAAAAACAGGCCCACATGTCAGTGAATGAGTGAGTTAAGTTTGACGCCTCTATTAGCAATGTTCCAGCAATATCACAATGTGGGTACACACATTGTACCCGTATAGGGAATCGAACCCAGGTCTTCAGCGAAGCAAGCAAATGCATTAACCACAAGGCTACCTCTTTACCCCACCACACTGTCAGGAACTGAACCTGGCCCTTTAACTTCATAAGCAAACACTTTAACAGTCTGTCTCACAGTCCCTGAACCACATTATTTTCCCTACTGCCTAGCCCCCTCTAGTGTAGATTTCCCCAGGTTCAGGATCTCTGGTCTCCCTGGGGCTCCTTTTCAATTTAAATGGGCTTGTTTGTTACTATTGAACTTAGAGAAATGATATTCAGAGACTAAGCATTAGTCTAACACTTTAACTACTAGGCTACCTCACAGCCCCTTGAAACACTGATATGGTGTTGATAGATCAAGATCAGGGCAGAGAATGGATTTGATAATCCCGTACAGTACATAAAGAGAAATACAAAGAGTGTTCAATACACCTCCCTAGTATTTAAAAGGTCACAGTCAAAAGTTTGACAATATAAATTTTTCCTTGTTTTTTTATTTTATTTTTAGATTAAATGAAAAATTAGTAAAAACACTGACTGACTGACTGAGTTTGGTTTTACGCCGCGTTGAGCAATATTCCAGCAACATCACGGCAGGGGACACCAGAAATGGGCTTCACACATTGTACCCATGCGGGGATTCGAAACCGGGTCTTTGGCGTGACGAGCCAATGCTTTCACCACTAGGCTACCCCACTGCCCCTAGTAAAAAGACATTTTAATGAATCCACAATTCCAATCAACTAGTGGAAATCCCATAAAAGTTATTTCCAACTATGGGATCATGGATAGCAACTTTGCCTCTCAATATCCTAGAATTAAACATTTGTACTTACCTCAAACTTTGACTTGAAGTTTGGTCCAGCTTGGGCAATGAAAACACTCGATCCTGGTTCAAAATCTAATTCTCCATTTTTCCGACTATAGAAAACTTTTTCAGATTCCTGGCAGTTAAGATAGAGTGTTATTGAATCCTCTTCAACACGCAGGGCAATTTTTGTCCACTTATTTACAGTGGAATCCACAGTGAAAGAAGCAATCACATTTGATGACTCAGCTAACTTGGCGTCTGGTGTATAGTATAAAGTTATAACTTGCTTCGTAGGCTCCCGAGGCGAGTCTGTTATACTGACTCCAAACTGAATAACTGTTTGGTAGGTGTTCACCACTGCAAATATGAAACCACCACTTTGAGTGTAGGGCTTCAATGTCATTACTACAGCAAAATCCCTATACAAGGGCTTTCGGAAATATATCTGTGCCGGTTGGCGTATAAATGCTTCTTTACTAAGAGTAAATGTTGGGTAGCCATCGATTCCTGTATCGTAGCCAATCCCTGGTCTTCCATCTGAAGGTACTCCTATTGCACCAAGAAGGTCGATTTCTGAAGACGCTTCAGCATCTGGAAGAAAAACATGGACTGTAAGTACAAAGTAATCACTGAGCATGTAAACATGACATTTCATGAGTGAGCGAGTTTAGTTTTACGCTGCTTTTAGAAATATTCCAGTAATATCACAGAAGGGGACACCAGAAATGGGCTTCGTACATTGCACCCATGTGGGGAATCGAACCCGAGACTTCGGCGTGATGAGTGAACGTGATAGTGATACAACTATCGTGAAACAGCTTATATACACCTTTGACAATGAGAAAGTGAGATGAGGAACTATTGCACTTAGTAATACTCCAACAAGACAAATAGTACAGTAAGAATGGACTTTACACATAGATATTTGGTGTGACAAGTCAATGCTTTAACTGACTGACTGACTGAGTTTGGATTTACGCTGCTTTTAGCAATATTCCAGCAACATCACGGAGGGGGACACCAGAAATGGGCTTAACACATTGTACCCATGTGGGGATTCGAACCCGGATCTTCGGCGTGACGAGCGAACGCTTTAACCACTGCTCTACCCCACCGCCCCCAATGCTTTAACAAACTTGACTTCCCCTGTTTGTTAACCTTGGTTCTAATACAGCAGCAGCCAGTCTCGTGGACTCTAAATTTCAAACACTGCACAATACAAAATACGTTTTGTTTCTGTTTATGCAGCAATTATATTCCAGCTATATGTGAATGTCACATTTGCTTAAATTAACCATATGAATGCATACATTTTCAAGGCACATTTTTCATAAAAAGATGTATGCTAACATCTCATAAAAAAGATATTTCAAGCCAAACATTCCTTGTTTGTGAAAGGTTTTTAATTTTTAATTTAATCATGTATCTATGGAAATCAAACAAAGAAATAAAATGTGACACGATAAATATATTTTAAACTGATCTAAGCATTCAAAGTCTACTGCAGATGTGTGTCGACCTATCCAGCAGATTCTTGTGTAGCTATACCTGTGCTTTACACTGCATAATTGCCACTTTAAGAGAAGCAGGTAAGTAGGACAATGTCAGCATGTCTGTTCAGAGGAGTGTGACCCCAGACAGCTCCTACATCATACCAACCCAGCCAACCTGTTTATGTCATACTGAAGCAGGCTGTCTACTTAATGTTGGGGCCTCATTACAACTACATGCATCAATGTCGCCTTATAAAGAAACCTGGTAATAAATCATCATATCCTACCAAAGAATGAAATTCAATATTAACTTCTTGGTTAATATCAGTAATAAAACAGGGTATAGATAGATATGCATTTTATTTTACACCTGGTTTTGACAATAACACAAGTCAACTGGATGACAGTCAATAAACTTTTATTGGGGCAAGTCATTTTAAATCAAGAGGACTGATTGGCTGAAAGAAGATAGAAATGTTTCTGTCGTTTGTTTTACCTTTACTGCTTCAAGCTTAAGGGAATGAAGAGCATAATTTGCCAGAATATTAATAGCACTACAGATGTAAAAAATAGCGATTTAGACAAAGGAGAGAAATAAGTGATGATTTACAATTTTTTCTAAGAATGATGTGTCTGCGGGAAAATTTCTGACAGCATAGTCTTCATAGAACAAAAAAGGTATATCAAATTCAACTGCAAAAGTAAGGGAGATAACTTTCACAATCACAACTTGGAGCTCAATTTAATATGACAAAGTTTCTATCAAACAACAAAGAAACAAATTTATATTTGTTTACAATCACAAGCTTGTGAAATCGAACTTCAAAAGCTTCCTTCATCCCAAACTGGTGATAACAGAAGTTCTCCCATCCGTTCCTTTTCGAAACCTGTTTGTAAACTGGCTGTGACAGCCTCCTTATCAGGAACAGTACTTGATGCTCAGGCTCTTGTAGATGCCTGTGTAAAATAACCATACTCCATGCTGCTGCCTGACATTAGAAGCGTATAAACCATAAAAAAACATTTTAAAAGTCGCTTCTCAGTCACCATGCCATTATACACTGCCTCATGACTCAACCAGCTTACTCAACATGGAGTCACTGGGTCATCAGCACAATATGTCTGTGACCAGTGTGCTCCGACTGCGAAACCTTTCCTCATATGCTAATATGATGTTCCTCCAAGTCAGAGCTTGTCACACAATTCACCACCGTAACTGTCAGCCTACCGACCCACTGCAGCTATTTCCTATATAGATGTTGTAAAGACATGGTGTACCGCCTTGTTAACAGTCTGGAGAACGCTGTCCCCATGTCAGAAACATCATCTTGCAATATATGAATGCCACTCACGGTGGAGCTACCCATGGCGCAGTTCATACGAACAGACACGGCAAACACCTGGTGTCACTGTGGTAACTTTTTCAAAGTTTCACGAGTGTATGTTCTTGAATATCACTTTTATTTTGTTCAAATTGGTTACTTTTCCCATAACACAACTGAAGACAAAACTTTGTGCATATTGAAGACTATTGTATAGTGACTGAGCGAGTGAGTTGGGTTTTATGCCGCTTTTAGAAATATTCCAGCAATATCACAGCAGGGGATAAGCTTCTCACATTGTACCAATGTGGGGAATCAAAACCAGATTTTTAGTGTGACGAGCAACGCTTTGACCATTTGGCTACCCCACCGCCCCAACAATTGTACAAATGTGAGAGACTGCTATTCAACACAACAGTCAGCGCAATATAGAAGACAAACTTTTGTGAGACAACTCTCAAAATTAGAGCCTTCACAAACTCTGCATAACCTCTTACGGAATAAAATTTCAATTGCACCTTTCTTGTGAAGCCATCTTGTATGATAATTAACATAATTCATACCTCGCAAAGCCTTACACTTGTCTGAACCTGTAAGGGCAATTCAAATCTGTTTTGCAGCTTAGCACACTTAATTAGCACTCTACACATGATAGGTAAGTTCTGTAACATTCTTGTTAACCTGATGCCTCATTCACTATCAAAAGGCTCTTTATGACCTTTCAACAGCTTAACCATGCATCTATGTAGTGAGTTCATTTCCACTGGTGTACCATTTAGACTTGTGAACACGATGGCTCTTGGACCTTGGCTCCACAAATGAGGAAGTTCTATGGTTCATCAATGATGAAAAGACCATACAATATATATGCTGACTGGCTTTAAGGTTTCATTCAGTTCTAAGTAAAAGATAAACCATTTCCATGCTTTCATGTACAGTCTGTTCAAAGAAGGAGGAATGGGGTAACCTAGTGGTTAAAGCATTTGCCCGTCATGCTGAAGACCCGGGTTCAATTACCTACATGGGTACAATGTGTGAAGCCCATTTCTGGTGTCCCCCACTGTGATATTGCTGGAATATTGCTAAAAGCAGCGTAAAACTAAACTCACTCACTCACTGTTCAAAAAATGTTCTGAGAATGAGCAGCCAATGAATCGAATAACATCTCATAGGATGAAAAATAGTTGCCACCAGTATGGTAGTAAATGTATCAATAGATAAAGATGTTATATTGTTAAAAACTATGTCACAATAAAAAAACAAACTTCTTTAGGTGTGTTTAACAACACAAGAATGTCCAAAAAAACCAATTTGTCAATATGGTTAGATGAAATCATAAATGAGTTCCTGACAGGTTATATTATCTAGGTTACACATTGGAAGGTGGGCACTTTAAAAAACATACCCAGTGATAAATTACAATAGTAAATTGGATTTTTTTCAATTCCCTGTTAAAATATTAGCATATATTGTACTCGATTTGTGATTTGCCAGCCTATATATGCCATCCCAGACTGTGTATATATCATGTTCAAGTACAGATATTTCAATATATCAGTGTCACCTCCTCTCTCCATACTGCTCTCTATATGCCTACAACTTTATTCAAGCCAATCAAAGAACTTAATTATAACTGCTCCAACTATAAGCTGACATGCTTGTATTTGCACAATCGTCAAAGCAAACATCAGCGAACACTCATGAAATTAAACTATTGTTGCCCGTTTCTGTTTGAACATATTTTTTGTCTCCTTAAGAAATAGTAAGCAAATAAGCCTATGATAAGGCCAATGATTTATAAGTACTGGCATTGGTGTTGAGCTGGCTATGCCTCCTACATCAGAAAGGCAGTCGAGCATTAAACACTCGGAATGTACGCCTTTGTTGCCCATAGTGGAGGACCTTGTCACAAACTTGCATTAATTAAAAGCCGTGTCTGACATACTCACCCACAGTGCCACATCAATGAATATCTTAACACTTATGAAAAGATGGCGGCCATCTTGAATATTTACGTACAAAGACAAATTCTCTGCTTCAAGAGCTGGTTAAGCAATATTATAAAACCTGGGCATTAAACTGCTGAAGGGGCTTCTATGAGGCAAATATTGAGACATACAGCCCTGTGTCTACAACATAAACAGAGACTGAAGATAACTGATGGCAACAGACATTTGTATTCTGTGTTCTGATCATGAAGTGTCATGCACATACACATGTAAATGAAGTGTTTTAACTGGGTGCGATGAAATTGATACAGGGCAAATTCCTCTCTCATTTTGCTGTATATGCATGCTCAAAGTTGCTAAACTGCTTGAGAAAACTGATTTGTCAGAAATACTTCATTGTGAATAAACTGTCTCCTTTATAAACTGTAAACAGGTTTAATACCACATGATCGTCTGGAGATATAAAACGACATTACCACTTCCCAATTTGCTGAATAAGCACCTTTAGAATTAAAGGCACTATTTCACACCACACTTCTCTAAAAATAAATAATGAATTTCTCTCAATAATACTAACCATCAGCCTTCAGTGAAGCTACCATATAATTTATCAAAAAAACCCATTATGTATTCAGATTACAATATTAAATTAAAAAGTTTGAAACATTATTTCAAGTGAACCCCACAGAGTTATGTCCCTTGGAGCGATCTTTACAAATATCCTATAACTCCTGAGACAGAACTCGGTCCTAGGCAAAATGATGCTAATGTCCGGTGCAAAAACATACGTGCAAGTTGTGATTGAAACCAGTTCGGCAAACACTGAA